AAATCCCCTCCCTCATTTGTCTTCGGGAAGGAGAGGCAGTGCTTGCGCGCCTCTCTCTCTCTCTCTCTCTCTCTCTCTCTGTGTGTGTGTCTGTATGTGTGTCTGTGTGAGTGTATGCGCGCGCGCGTGTGTGTGGCGGGGTGTCGGCTAGGGTGGGACTGAAGCGCGGTGATTAAGGCTCCCTCTCAGGAACCGAAGCGTGCGCTTTCCAGATGCAGCTTTCCAACGCGCTCGGCGGCAGCCCTGAAGAGGAGGACGCGGTGGCGACCGAGGCGATGGCAGCGGCCGCCGCCGCCATAGAGAAGGGGGCATGAGCCGAGCGGTTAGGAAAAGCGGGAGAAGCCGCCTCGGCCATCGCGGCTGCTGCTTGTTGCTGGTCCCGGGCTCCATGTGGTGACCGGCCGAGGTTATTTCTTTATTTTTTTTAAAACAAACAAACAAAAAACTCTTGCGTGCCCTTGGCTAGTGAGCGATGGGTTCCCGCCGAGGCTGACCTCAGCCCCGCGCCCGCCCGTCTCCTCTGCGCTCGGGCACGGGGAGCGCCAGGCGCAGGAGCGGCCATGGCTGCGGCCATCGCCAGCGGCTTGATCCGGCAGAAGCGCCAAGCGCGCGACTTGCAGCACTGGGATCGGCCCTCGGCCAGCAGGAGGCGCAACAGCCCCAGCAAGAACCGCGGGCTTTGCAACGGCAACCTGGTGGATATCTTCTCCAAGGTCCGCATCTTTGGCCTCAAGAAGAGGAGGTTGCGGCGTCAAGGTGTGTGCGCGCGCGCTTGTGCTCTCTGTATGTGTGTGTGTGTCTGTGTGTTGCGCGCGTGTGCTCTCTGTATGTGTGTGTGTCTGTGTGTTGTCACTATGCGCCTGCGTGTGCCTTTGTGAGGAACACACCGACCTGTGGCCGTCAAACCTGGCGGACCACACCGCTGCCGAAGCGCCTGTACTTGGGGAAAGCAGAAGCTGGCTACTGTACTTGTGGGCGCTCTCTAGACAGAGCGCTTGCAGCGTCCTAACTTCTCCGCCACCAACCCAGTACGGTCTCTGACTGTTAGCTCTCTGTTATCTCCTTTTTACAGGAAGGAGAGTTTAGTCAGGTTTAAAAAAAATTGCCTCCGTTTGGTTCTCATAGGCACCAAGGTGAATTAGGACCTGATTTCTCCCCCATGGATCAGAACAGGTGAAGAAAGTGTGTGTTTTAGCCTTATGTGCAAATCACGAAATTTCAAGGGGCTTAGAGGGTAACTAAACGATCTAAATAGTCTAGAATAAGCAGGCTCAGTTTGCACAGTCTCATCACATGCCTGCTTGGGTTTATGTTGATTTTGCACATGAGGGAGAGCCCCCCCAACCCACTGAGCAACTTTAAATCATAGCCATTTAAACAACTTGAGTCATAACTGAAGGGTTATATTTGAGATGATGGGGCAAAGCACTTCCTGTTATTCCTTCAATTGATCTTATCCCCTGCACACACAGTCAAGAGTGACAGAGGACGGATTTCTGACCAGTCCTTGCGGTTCATGACTATGGCTAAAGTGGTAATTCTTTTCTACTTTAGTGACTCACTATATGGGACTGGGAAAAGGTAATTATTAGTTCATATTGCATGAGTGTGTTCCTCTGATATAGGACCACATATGCTGCTTTATTTTCATTTGGAACAAGGTGTCTAAATCACTGTTTCCCCAGTCATTCTCCAGATATTCCAGCTGAATTAGGGTTGTGAAGGGATGTGCATGCATATAACTCAATGCATTGCTCCTCAAAATCTGTTAACTAGGTTCTGGCTTGTATCCCATGATCCTATCTTTTGGAAGTGAGGGCAAAAAAACCTGCCAGCTCTATAGACATTTAGATGCTTTTAATACCCAACTTCATCTAGTAGAGGGTTTCATGTACTAAACGGTGAGAGCAGCACTGGGAAGAACTGCAGGATATAACAGCAAAACAGCAGAACCTTCATCATCTGCCTGATCTTGCACTGTTTCCCTTTTGTTAAAATGTTGTAGGTAATACTTTTTAATGAATGCAAAGAAATGTCAATTCGAGGCAGCTCACAGAGGCTAGTCACATTTTCTATCATTACTGAATTGAAAGCATAGTGTCATCAAAGGTTTTTTTTTTGTTAAGTGACAATGTGTTTAGTGAGCATCAACTAAAGAAAACAATTCTTTCCAGCTTCAATAATTTAATTTTCATGAAAGGTGTGTTTACAAGGAGGCAAGCTCAGGAAATTATTATGAAATCAAGACAACTCTGTGAAATGATAAATGAAAATGATTTCCTGCCAATAAGTAGTATAATCGAATGTTCAGAGAGAGGAAATAACTGTAGCTTGCAGTCCTATCTGTCTTGGGTAAATCTACTCATTGTTTCAAAATGTAAAAAATGGATAACAAGGTGCAAGAGGCATTTTGAAGTACTGTATCTTTAAGAATGCACAGATATTGAAATGGAGAATCCTCAGAGTATAAATGTGGGGAACCCCAATTCCCACAGCACACTCCTTTTGCATTATGGGAGCTGGCTTATTTAGTCCAGTCATGTTGATATTAATTGTTTTTCCTTTCACTTTGGGATATTCTACCATGCTTTGACATTCTCTTTAACACTTACCTTAATACCACTTCTCCAGACTTAGTATTAAATGTGCTTCATTACTTCTTGTTTCTGTGGACAGTCCAGCAGGGTATGTTCCATGCTTCTCCTTCATTTTATCTCATCAGTCTGCCTTCAACCTTTTGTGTGGCCCCCCTCAAGCCTTTACCAAGCTAATATACGACATGCTAACATATGACATGTGCTATGCTTCTGTACATGTACATTTTTTCTCTCTCCTTCTTCTCCTTCTCCCTTTTTACCTGAGTAATGTAATGGGGCTGGATGGAGTTGCTGGTTCATGCATACTCCAGTTCCAAACGGACTTGATCAAAACACTAACCCAGCATACAATCAGTGCAACAGGAAAACTGCTTCATTTTTTACTTTGTTACTACTTTGTTTTTGCATATGTAATGTGATAAAATTATCCTCATTCTTGAAACTAGAATCTCATTTTAGTAAAAAAAAGCTTTTCTCCCCCTGCATGTTGTATTTTCCTTAAGCTTAAATTTGGTTAGGTAGTGCTTGCACTTTCTGCGTAAAGGAAAGCCTTTCAATTCACAAAATGTACCAGAGAGTAAAGGGAAATATTTATCCAGCTAAGAAAGCTGTGCATTGCTTTCTGAGATGTAAATTAGACTTAATGGGGAGTTTCACTGAAATGTAAATTAAAATAGCTGTAAGTTACCCATCAAATGTAAAAACATAGCTTTAAATTAGGCTGAATTAATTTTAAAAGAGGCATTGAGAAATGGCATAGCTAAATGAATGGGAGCAACTGGTTGACCATGTAATACTAATGTAACAACACTTGAATTCAACAATCTATTAATCTTTGTTTCTTTGTTTGTTTTTTGTGGTGACTACAGAGTGTACAATGATGTTCATAACTGTTCAGTGCTGGGCCTCCCCAAATCAGTCTCAATGAAGCAACATGAATAGTTCCCTTTGCAATTTTATCTACTTCTTCTTGCACACATTGGGAACCACTCTATGCCTTAACAATTTCATATCATTCTTATAATCAGTATTATGTTTTTAAAAAGGTAACTTCTTATTTGAGATTTTAAAAGAGCTTTTAAAATTATTTCATACTATCAACTGTAGTACCTAAGTAACTACATATGGCTGACGCTTAAACTGCCTCTAAAAGACAAATAACCGTGTAATATTTCCATTGGTAGCTATACTGATTTCAGTACATGCCAAGAACACCCAATCAGCAATAATGGTAATACTGCATTAGCAGCGGTTTGGCAGAAAGCTTATAAACAAGAGATTAAATAAATATGCTATCCATACATGTTTGTTGGAGTTATTATGTGATGAGAAGTGAATTGTATTTAATAATTAAAATTTATATTAAAACCAATAACTCACTAATTAGCAATTTTGAAACATAAGATTTGCTATATGGTTTTAACTAAATGTTGTGGAGACTCCCTCTTAACAGAGGGTAAAATTCCAACAAGTGAAAGCAAATATTTAGATTAATCTTGTGTTAAGACACACACCTTTATTGTTTTAGTATGTTAAAAATATGAAGATGCACACATCCAATCGGTATCACCATACTATTAAAATATATTGATTTTATATTAATTCAGGACATTTACTTTTTTGCATCTCATGCCTCAAATGCAGAATATTTGAAACACCTGCATAAAGAATACATTTCTAGGTCTTTTTTGTTTCTTTTGTTAGAATAATTATGATGTTCTTAAATCTTTTGTGGTAAGGGAAGTGAAGAATGCCTCTAACAGCTGTGATAACAAAGCCTACATCTTTTACTTGTGAATAAACCTAAGTCCTGTTGATTTCTGTAGTTCCTTCTGTGATCACATCTAGACCCTACTGACTGAGCTTTTCCATATTACATCTAGAAAAATTAGTGAAACCAGCTCTGAGAGCATTAGGTTAAAATGTTGGGAAATTATCTGTTCAGTGCAACTGACTGATATCAATTGGAAAGATTTTTTCATTGAGGTCTATTCAAGGGACAACATGATTCCATTGTGTTTTGTTGTGACTGGATCTTTTATTACATTTAGGCACATCTCTGATACATTATTGATACATAACGCTTAATCACTTTGGAAGATCTGCCTCAGCCATATTTTTTGTTTATTGATGTTTGGGCTTCAGCTATAGGCACCACGTACTTTGTGTTAGATTCACTGATGCCAGTTGGACTTACTGGCATCAGTGAATCTATGCCTAGATTCTGCCTAAGGCGTAGAATTGTTTGAAAGTAAGTTTATAACTGTTTTCCCATTTTTTGTTGATTTTGCATACTTTCCACCTTTTACAGTATGTGTTCAAAGTTACACTACAGTTTAGCATCTAGTCATGGTACATATAAGATGAACAATGCAGTCTTGATTCATATACTGTATCTTCAGTACTCCCACTGATGTTAATATGGTTTACTCCAAGATAAATGTGTACAATGTAAGTTAACAATCGTCTTTTTAAGGCCGCCAGATTAATTATTGTAGTATGTTGAACAAGTTAGCACATTGAACTAAGAACGCTTCATTAGTTATTTTTGTTAAAGAGAACAGTGGCTCTTGGACAGTCTTGTTAAAACTATTTTTAAAAGGAAGAACACTGTGGTTGTTTGTAATGTAATTTTTTGTAGGTGATCACAGAACAAAGGAAGGCTAATGATGTGGGTGATCACAGAACTATAGGAAGCCAATTAACAAAGAAGTCAACCACATATGTCCGATCCAGCGGAGCCTCAAGGCAATGCCCTGAGAACTCTTTTTATTAACTTAGCAGGAATACACAGAATGTTGTGAGAATTCAGATAGGATACTAGTTACCTAATCGCCACTAGGATTGGCTGGAAAAAGTCTTTGAACCTATGCCCTAACTCTAAGCAGAAAGGCAGAATGAGAGGTCACCCCGTCCGCTGGGAGCTGCTGATTCTCCTCCAGGAGTGTTTGTGCTCACTGTAACAGGTAACAGCTAACGGCCTTGGGCAGAAGCTTCCCACAATTTTTTACACTGATCCAGAAATCCTCACAGGAAACCTTAGTTTTCACACCTGCTGCTCTGTGTGAGGAAGAGATGCCACCACTCGGAGCTGCTAACTTGTTGCATGGAGGGAAGCCAGGAATCCTCTGCAGCTGTTTCATACAATAAGAGTATATT